TTTTTATTTTCTATACCATAATTATAAAGTTTGTATAAAAGGATCTCGTGGTCCACTGTATCGAAAGCCTTTGAAAGGTCAATAAATACTCCAAGGGTGTGTTTGTTTTTGTCAAAGCCACTTAAAATTTCGTTAACTAATTTTATTACAGCATATTCAGTTTAGTGGCCTTTTTTAAATCTGTATTGGTTATTGTAGAGGATGTTATGATTTTGAAGGTATGTAAAGAGTCTATTATACATTATGCGCTCCAATTTTTTTGAGAAGCATGGGAGTATGGAGATGGGTCTATAGTTAGATAGTCATCTCAAGTCATCTCCGCTTTTAAATACTGGAACTCCGCGTGCTAATTTTATGCGGTCAGGAAAAACTCCATTTTTTAATGAGAGATTAAAGATCTAGAGAGATTAGAGATCCTACTTAAAGCAATGAAAAATAAAAATTTATATTATAATTAACCTTTATAAACGTTAATTCTTACGGTAACCGTTGCGTTAATCGCTGATCGGATATTAGTATTATTTTTCTTTACTAATTTATTCCACATGGATCACTTCTTACTCACTTCAATATTATTTAGTAAAATAAAACAGTTTTCTAAATTATTTGCTCTAAGCAATTAATTAAGAAAACTGTTTTATTTAGTTTTATTTAGTCCAGACAAAAAGTCCAAAAAAAAAATTAACACGCGCACCTTTTCCGTATACGGACTTTTTAAATGTATCTTATATAAGTGGATTTTATAAGAGATTTATAAAATAGTTTATTTCACTCATAAACAGAGAAACTCTATTCCACATTGACTTTGTCTATATTTCTCTTTCTAATATTTTTAGTGAACAATAAAATATGAGCCAATATGAAAGTTCACATACGCACCTTACTTATACTTAGAGCTTATTAAGACCTTTACACCGTATATTTATTTGGAATGAATTGTTCTGAAGTGAACTACTAAGAAAGTTTAAGAAAGGAAATCTTCTTGACGGTGTTAGATGCCCAGATTGCAATAAATTAACTTGTAGACGAAAGAGATGAATCTTCTTGCTTTTTCACTTTCTTGCTGCTTTATGTTATAATCGAAATGAAGACGAAGAAACCAAGTTTTACTGGTTTTAGAGTACAGTTGGCGCACATCATAATACAAAAATCAAATGATTTTGAATCTATTAATTAAGATTTATTACTGGATTTGGTGGATTTAATTACATAACCGCAAGGTAGTTTTACAGTCGTTTGAGAGTTGGCGTATATTTCGTAATACAAAAATCATTTAATATTAATACCTTATATTTGAGCATTTCTATTACCGGATTCGGCAGAAACTAAAATTATGATGTAATTTTAGTACTTTTGGGTTTTCTGTTTGTCACCTTCTAGAGTTGTTAATTTTTTTTTATTAAGTTTCGGAATATAATTTTTTTTCTTCATACTATCCGGTACTTATTAGGACTCTTGACCAGTTAATTCTCAAGAAAATTTCAGTTTGCATGTAACAAAGCTGTTGTGCGAATCGCTATTTATTAACTAATTAGATATTAGTAGCTGTTTAAAAAATATTTAGAATAACCGCTTCATCTTCAATGGAACTTATTAGTTGTTATCTATTACTTATATAAGTTTTGCAGAGATATAAACAGATATAGACAATTACTTGAACACTTTATGATTAAAACTAATATGAACACTCAATGATTAAAATACTGTTATTTTTTCCTTAATTCCATAACTCCAAGCCACAAACTTTGACAAACAACAAAAACAAAAGGTTGTATAATTAAGTATGTTACTTCCAGCGACATAGTTTGTTTGAACTTCACTTACAAAGTTCTACACCACTGCTACAATTTATATTATATAACTTATTATATAACTTTTATTATATAACTTATTATATAACTTTTGGAATATTTATATTATATAACTTAGAGGAAATAATGTTTAATGTTGTATAGTTGTTATAAATTATCTCAATTTAATTTAAAATTAAAATAAATAAAATAATAGCTAAAAATGCTTTTTATTTTAACATTCGAAATTAATTAACGGAAGTAAATTAAATGTGAGCTTTTTTAATATTGTGTTATGAAAAGGGTTCCTCAAAATGGGACATAGATTTTAAGGATGTTTACGCTATGCATATGAAGATAATTCAAAACTATTTATCTCCTAACTGTTCTAATTTTAATCCTTACTATATCTAAATAATATTTTTAGATTTTTTAAGCATATTTGTAGTCATTTATGTATTTTTATTTCCATACTTATCTTGACCACATAAGGTATTGATTTACATGATGTATAAAAACTTAAAGTTTATGTTTACATTTTAAGTATAAATAAATGCTAATATGGCTCATGTTATTTTTTACTTAAGGATGCTGGATTACTTTCACATCCAAGTAAAATGATTATCGATATTGGAGACGAGTTGGCGAAGACAGCAGCGTGGAAGCAGCTTACATGTCACACTAAAAATTCTTTAGATTCAAAAAACTTTCCAAATACAAGTAGTGGGGAAAGTGGTTCCAGACGGCGTAGAAGGCGAAGCCGTGGTTCTTTAACAAAAAATAAAGATGGAAAAGAATGTGTTGCGTTAAATACAAATAATAGAGCATCTCGTAAAGATTCCAAGAATTCAAAATCCGATTATTTAACAGAACAATCATCACAAAGTGATATCTCAAATGGTAAGCGCAGTCGGAAAAAAAGTAAAAATACTAAAGATCAATTACCTCCTTGGGAACAGCCTATTGGATCACCTCCAAGAAAAGATTTAGGTCTACTAGAGATTTTTGAAGATGCTTTAAGTATTGATCCGGCTTGTACCAGAACAGACTCTCCTATTCCCGCTTGTCCTGTAATAAAACTTGAAAATCAAAAGGATCAAGTAACGAATTCTCCCACACCAGAAACATTCACCTTAAAATGATTACCGCTTGTTAAGTGTTTTTCCTACTTTCTAGTCTGGTTGCCACACTTTCCTACATTTTAGCCTGATGGCCTCACTGTCCGATGAATGAATAGTTGGAACGAGTGAGAAATGCTAGTGATTATTTTGATCTTGTTGAACAGGAATAGTTAGTTTTAAAATGAAATTAGTTCTATTTTAGTTATTTGTCAAATTATTATTTAAAAGTTACCATAATTAATAATAATTTGAACCTATTTATATAATTATTTATAAAATTATTTATATAAGTTATACAAACACATATTTATATAGAAGATGCATAAATTTTTAAATAAAAAAAAGTTTTAAGAACTTGCGTTTTTCATGTTTTTTGTTGATTTATTAACTACTTTTTTAAAATTTAATTTTAAAACTCATTGAAAGTAGGATACAATACCGCTCCCCAAATCTCTCAGTCAAATCAACTGAGCAGTTTCTTCTTTTTTTTTTTTTTTTTTTTAATTATTGTTAGCGATTTACAAGAAGTTGTCTTTGATTAATTTTAATTCAAGGTTTGATTTGTTTATTTAGTACTATTACTTTAGTACTAAATTATTAAAACTTATTAAATTATTAAAACTTATTAAATTATTAAACCAATTCTAAATTTAAATGAGTCCTGTTTTAATTCAATTAGTAAAACTATCTATCATTATCGCTAGATCATCAGGAAATTTCTTTATAGGGTCTTTAAAATTTTAAAATGTTTTAAATTTATTGATTGTAATTTCATAAAATACACAGTATTTCTTTTGTTTTATCTAATGTACATATCAATACAGTTGTTAGCACGTAAATTAAGTTGTAGAGGTAATTGAATGATCACTAACATAAGTGTTAAAAAGTTTAATATTAACTCTTCTCAAGGTTTTTTAATGTAAAATTGTGAATAAAGTTCTTTACAAAAGAAACAAGTTCTATCAGACACAAAATCAATTTTATTGGTACTTGTATTATTTGCATCACTACAGGCTTTTTTTTCAAGTAACATTTTTCTTTTTCTAACAGTTTCTTCCTTTTTAACTATACTTTTTTTTTTCTTTTTCCTTATTGTCATTTTCTTTTTTCAATTCTTGGATGTTCGGAGTAGAATTCAGATGCCGTGTTTTCTATCATTTTCTTGTTCGTTTAAATTCAGTTTTAGAAGTTGCTAAAAACAAGAGAGACAACTTTTGTATACTAAGTTTTAATCCTCGACACGTAGCCAGACAACGCAGCTAGGCACATCTGATGCTTCTTTCTAAATATGTTGATTATTTAGGTTCTTGTTTTTTATCTGTTTTTGAAGTGCTTATTACAAAATGTGTTAATTTTTTAAATTCTTGCGTTAAATCTAATGTGATTGAGCTTATTTCAAAATGTGTTGATTTCTCAAGTCCTTGTGTTAAACCTAATGTGGAAGAGCTTATTTTAAAATGTGTTTTTTTCTAAATTTTTTGTGTTTTTTCATTGCAGTTAACTTTCTCAACATGTTCTGTTTTTAATAAAGCAGCAAACATCCAGTCTTCAAAAATATTGGGATTGAAAGGATATATTCCAGTTTTGGCAAAAGCATGCACAAAATTAGCCAAAGTTGCATTGTTTAAAAGTCCAGGAACCTGGAAATGTTTCACAACTCTACCGGTTGGATGGACTCTTAGCCATGTTTGAATCTCTTGATCATAATATACCTGTAATGGACCAAAAAGTCCAATATCAAGTGGTTAGACACGGTGCTAACTACGTGTGCGGGAAAATAAAATACTACAACATCATTTTCTTTTGCATACTTCAAAACTGCCAAGCTTTTATGCCATCTACTAGATGAAGCTTTTTTGCTGGTTTTTGACTCACTAGAGTGGTGCCCAATGGAGCGTTATCCATCAACTAGTTTTTTATTCTTTTTCTAGGAAATATTGGTGGCACTAATGTTCCTATTGCATTCATATAACACACTACAGTACTTAACCCTTAATTCGTTAATGTTGTATACATTTTCAGTAAAGAATTTGTACTGTTCCATAATTAATGATGGTGCTGTGAAATAACAGTGGATATTTTTTAATTAAAAGTCTGTACTTTAGCAAACGATGTATTTTCTGGTGCTTTTAGAGAGACTTTTGTATTACGTTGTAAATATCCAGTGAACCATTTTTTTACCTCCCATTCTAAAATATTTATTAAAATTATGCTTTAAATGATTTTTTTGATTCGCAATTTAGAACACCAGTCGTCCTAGATCTTTTGTTGTTAGACCAAAAAACTTTGTCTCCGTATCAACTATTTGCATATTTAATTCTTCTTCGATGGAATGACTTTAAATTGTTCTGCAACCTCTCAAGCCTGTTTTTTTAGAGCCTATGTCTTCTTTATATCTTTGATGCAACGTTGTAGCTGTTGCTTAATAATTCTTAAGGCATTTTTCTTTGCCACTTTTTCCCGTTGCTGTCTTTTCGTTTTATTGACAACCATTATACTTTTATGAAAAGAATTCATTCAAAGGTGATTTTGCGAAAATAAAGGTAGTAATTACTACCTTTATTTTCGCAAAGTTTTGTCATTAATGACAAAACTAGTTTACTTGTACACTTAAAAAATTATGCTACGCCTTTGGAAAAATGGGCCAATGAGAAGCTATTTATTTTTTCAAAAGAAAATGACTTGAAGCTTAAATCTAAAACATATTTTTCAAAAATTTGTTTAAGTTATTTGACTGAGATCGAGAACGATCAAATATTAAACAAAATGATTTAGCCTCCTCCATCACAAGATCTCTCTCCTATCGGATTTTTTATGGGTGGACTTAAAAGTAATGTCAAAAACTAATGCCAAATGATGCATAAGATGTGGACAAAACAAATTAGTATGTGGCATAAAATTAACTTTGACAAATTTGATAAGTTGTTTAATAGAATGCCAGGAATATGTATTTTAGTCGCTAAGATTGATTCATTAAAGATTGATTAAAAGATTAAAAGGCAATATAAATAATCTTATAAATTATAAATATTATATTATAAATTATGTTATATTATAAATTATATTATATTATGTTATAAATTAATCTTATCGGACTTTTATTAACTTTTTTATAAACCTAATAAAAAGGAAGATAATTCAGGTTGACTTTCCTTACAGTTTCTCTCCCAATAGTAAGTTAAACTATGATATCTTATTTGGAAAAGTACGACCATTCGAATAATTATGGACGGTAGTGTATATATATATAGTGTATATATATGTATATATATATATATATATATATATATATATATATATATATATATATATATATATATATATATATATATATATATATATATATATATACATCTAGAAGGAGCCTACGAGATGTGGAAACACTCACAGAGCTTGTTTAATAATCCATATGACATATGTGTTCTATGTAGTTATGTCACTCCCTATTTAGTTATGTTATTTACCTTCTAGCATATTACAGAGAAGGATTAAGGATTGAAAGGTGCATATAGTGATTAAAGTTTAAAATTTTTTTATATAAAAAAAGAAAGAAACCCTGTAAAGCTATTCAGAAATATTTTCAATGATCTAAGTTTTAAAAAAAATATTTTCAATGATCTAAAATTTCCAGATGTAGTTACATCTTCCTAAAGAAATTTTTAGGGGTCATTGAATTTTCAGATGATATTGAATAAATGTTGTTGGAGTAAAAAAAAATACAGATGAACTTAGACAAAATTATACAAATGATCTTGAACTACACCACAGATGTTGTTGAACAAATGTAGTAATCTTTTACCATAATTATTATTTGATTGTTATATAATATTATAATAATTAAATTATATGTTGTTAAATTAAATTTAACAAAATATAATTTTTTACTTCACTATATATTTTCTTACTTGATTCTAATTTATATAACAATTTTTACAAGTTTAATATGCTGCGGACCGGAAAAATTGTATGTTTATAATCACAGAGAACAAGCAAGTTAAAAAATATGATAATTTGTGTTGATAAGTTAGAGGTCGTCCATAAAGTACGTACGCTGTTTTTTTCGTTAACCCTCCCTGCCCCCTCCCTCGCATTTTACCATACGCTTTTTTGAGTACCCTCTACTCCCTAAAAGTACCAACGCTTTTCACCTACCAAACCAACATTTTATGATAAATTTTTTTAAATTTAGTGTCTCCATACTTTTATAATTGACCTACTGCCCCCCCCCCCCCAACCTCCATCTTATTTACGCCATTTGCACATACCCTCTTCCTCTCCGAGCGTACCTACTTTATGGACGATCCTTTAATTGTTGAAAGAATAAGTTAATTTTTTCTCAGTTAATTTTTTATTTAAATTGAAATTTTTTTATGCAAAATTTATATTATAATTGTAAATTTACTTTTAGGGGCGCCATAATTTATATCTTAAATAGTGTTGTTACGACTAATAAATAATTCGACTGTCGACTAAATCGACTAATATATTTTCTAAAATTGACTAAAATTGACTAATACGTTTTTAAAATTGACTGAATCGACTAAAAGTCAAAGTGTGGGAATAATTTATTTTTTAAAAAATAAATAATAATAAAAGTAATAAAGTAATTTATATTTGCTTTCTATTTTTAAATATAATATTATTTTTATAGTAATGAAGCAAAACAATATAAGAGAAGAGCAGCTCCAACAACGGGAAAATCAATTTCCGAACCCCAATGACTTAGATACATGTTATATATCAAAAAGTCATTACAATCATATTTACAATGTGATTGTATAGATAATATTTAGATTGTGAAGCTACATAACTTAGGTTTGCCCTAGCGCTCCGTGCCAACTTAGAGCGGCCCTTTGTAAAAGTATTTAAGAAAATCATAAGCATCGAGTAAACAAAAGAAAAAAAATATTAATGAAATACATAATCGAATGTTTAATTAAGTATAAATAATACTAACATGCCTTGTAACCTTGGTAACATGCCTTGAATTAGATAAAACTTTAAGAGAGTAAACAAATAGACAAAAGTTATAATAGAACACTGTTATTTAATAAACAAACAAAAATAAAAATAAAAAGGTATAAGAATGAAAAGATATATAAGAATTTTAATATTTTTACTCGACTAAATCGACTCGTTCATTAATTCGACTATTCGATTTTTTAAAGTCAACTAGTTTCGACTTTCGACTAGTCAACTTTTACTTGATTTAGTCAAAGTCGATAACAACTCCAGTTTTAAACTATTGATTTTGTATGTATTTTTTCTGCACCCCAATAAAAAAAATAATTGCAGCAAAAAGTAGTCATCTGTTTATTATTTTAATGAATAAGTTGTGGAAAGAGGAAAAT